AATGAAACTAAAAATAAAATCCAATAAATCAGAACATTATTTCTGAATTTGTAGTTAATTAAGTCTTTCATAAACATCAAATGAATTTAGATTTATGGATGAATGTTATTTTGGCAGTATGAAGCAAAATATTTTGGATGCCCTCTGCTTGTTTTTTTAAAAACTGGTCGTCTTTAATCATGAAACTCATTTATGAACTAGTTTCGTTAAAAAGATATGAAATGATGAATCCAGAAAACAATCATCAGAACACACTCTAAACAAATAATGTAGGCATGGAAAGATAATTATATGTATAGAAGTGGCTAATGATAACTTAGAAAGATATGACTTCCTTGTGGGATGACACTCATCCAATTACCAGCTTGGAAACTAAAGAAGTAAAAAAAAATTAAACACAGTTATATAATATAAAACTATTGTATAAACATAATAATGGACTGATATATACTAGATTTGATCAGATAATTCTTTACATCTTCCAATACTTGAAGGGCTATCTCAGGGAAGAAGGCTTCAATTTATTCTCCATAGCACCGAAGGGCAGAACAAGAAGTAATAGGTGGAAGCTCTTCATGGGGAGATTCGGCCTGGAAATAAGGTATTTCCTGACAGTAAGAAAGATTAATCAATGGAACAGCTTGCCTTCCAGAGTTATGGGTCTTCATCACTGAAGGTTTTCAAGAAAAGATTGAACAACTTTGTCTGGGATGGTAATAAGGAACCCTGCCTTGGGCAGGGGGGTTGAAATTGAAAAATAAACAAATTCCTCTTTTGGGGCTGATTTTTTAATCAAGCAGAGGGGCAACCAGGGAAGCTGCTAGGTAATGGACAGACATGTAATAGAAGGGCAAAACAAACTCAAAATTCCGATGAAATTTTGAACAACTGGAGAATGCAACAGAACAATGAAAATTTATTGAAGGGATGAATATTAGCATGAATTAGAAGGCAAATTTGAGCAAAGTATTACCCAATAGTCTTTAACACCTTGTTTACAGTAGACAGTGTATGCACACAATGTTGTTCTAAAAATATGAGTAGTTTCACATTTATTATTCTCCATGTCAACTAATCAGTCCTCTTCTGCACACAACATATGTAATCCACACATTCCTTCCCTTTATCTGAACCAGAAGAAATACCTCCTCACCTTCTTATCACACATTTGTGTTTGGAATCTGAAAAACAGATTAGAATCTTGGGTGTTGCTCTCTTGGGTGTTACTCTCCTAGTTGGTCACATAATGTGTACATTATTTAAAGTTTGCTTTTATCTTGGATGGACAACATTCTGTATACCTTGCCTGTAGGTGTGAACCAAAATTCTCATCTTCATACTAGAAACATATATGCTAATAATATATTGCTTCAGATGTGTAAGGAATGTCAAAGTTTGACATCTCTTAACTAAGCATTCTAAAGATTCCTTTTTGTTCTTTTGGGAACTATATTTATTACTATTAATGGGATTATTATGGTTCATTCCTTAAAAGAATCATTTTTCTAATAATATTTTTGTGTTACTGCCATGTGTATCTTCAATATATCCATGATTACAGATTACAGATAATCAGAGTTGGAAGGGACCTTGTAGGTCATCTAGTCTACCCCCCACCCAAGCGGGAGACCCTACACCATTTCTGACAAATGGCAGTCCAATCTCTTCTTGAAAGTCTCAACTGATGGCACTCCCACAACTTCTGAGGGCAAGCTGTTCCATTGGTTGATTGTTCTCACTGTCAGAAAGTTTCTCCTTGTTTCCAGGTTAAATCTCTCCCTGTTCAGTTTTCATCCATTTTTCCTTGTCTGGCCTACAGGAGCTTTAGAAAATAGCTTGACCCCCTCCTCCCTGTGCCAGCCCCTCAAATATTAGAAGACCGCTATCATGTCTCACCTGGTCCTTCTCTTTACTAGACTAGCCAAGCCCATGAGATTATATTGTGGTGGAATTTAATATTTGCTTACTATCTTGCAGAAGTGATAATGAAGTACTTATTTATTTGATTTGTCAATTGCTTACAAGATAATAGATATAAGTATAAACATGAGTAAGAATACAGGAAATAGGTACGAATAAATGGGGACAATAGGATAGGGACGGTAAGCACGATGGTGCACTTATGCACGTCCCTTACAGACCTCTTAGGAATGGGGTGTGGTCAATAGTGGTTAGTTTGAGGTTAAAGGAGTGGGGGTTAGAGGATGTAAGGATATAGAGGTTAGAGGATTCCCCATCTTATACTTGTATTCAACTTTCAGGCATATAATTGTCTTTAAAGGTTCACTTTATTCTCATAGCAAGCTTTTTTTTTAAACAATGGAATGTAAAATAGTGATCTTTTAAGCTTTTAAGTTTTCTAAACAAGAGGATTAATTCTACCTGATTGATATGACAAGGTGGACCTGGGAAATTAACATAATAAAGTGGGGGGGGGGTGAATCAAAACTGAAGGACAGTGCTGAAACACACAATGAACAGAGAGAGGGTAATAGTAAGATTTGCAGAAACAAAATCTATCATAATTCTTTGATTGTTCTGAGCAGGAAAACTCATTAAATAGATATTTACATTATAGTCCTCAGCTGGTTTTTCAAAGTCCCCTCTTTATGGAAATTGTTTTGGGGAAGCATTAAATAAAATGGACAGAATATTAAAATTGTCAGTATTCGCACAAAAATAGTCACCAGAATTTTTTTTTACAAGATAGGAGAATAACAAAACTGGTAATTTAGAAATACCAAAATGGTCTATGAATGACAAGAGAGATGGAGTAGCAGATAATGTGGTCTTTAAAAAATAGCTAAAAATGATGAAGAACTTTCAATCATAGTTATCTGAGGTTTACAAATTTGTCCAGCTCTCATCTTTAACTAGATTTTTTTTCCCTAGGTTTTTGAAGGGTTATTGCAACTTGAAAACATCTTATCCAGTTGGCTTCTTGGTGTTCTTCAAGCTTGCTGTAGATAATATCCTCAATGCATGAGGAAATAAATTTTTCTGGCTACCTATGTGGTAGCTTGTCCTTCTTGACTTGATTGAAATACAGGTAGTCCTTGATTTATGACCACAACTGAGCTCAAAAGTTCTGTTGCTAAGTGAAACATCTGTCGAGTTTTGCCCCAATTTATAACCTTTCTTGCCACAGTGGTTACCTGAATCACTGCAGCTGTTAAGTTAGTAACATGGTTGTTAAGTGAATCTGGTTTCCCCTTTGACTTTTCTTGTAAGAAGTTTGCAAAAAGTGATCACATGACCCATGACACTGCAACTGTCATAAATATGAGTCAGTTGCCAAACATTAAATTTTGATCACGTGACCACAGGGATACTGCAACAGTCATAAATGTGAAAAACGATCATGTCACTTTTTTTCAGTTCCATTGTAACTTTGAATAGCCATTAAATGAACTGTTGCAAATTGAAGACTACCTGTATTGTTTCTTCCTTGAATAGGGTATTTTTTTTATTATTCCTATGTGTATGGTACTGGTTCCTACTTATCTGAATGTTATGTTGGTTAATCATTTAGGAAGGATGTATTTAAGAATATCTGCCCCTTTCTTTGACCCTTTGGTTACATTCTTTTTTGAATTGTTTACAGATGGAGCTTATTTCCATGTATTTGTAATAGTCGATTTGTCACCATATACACCCTCATACAGTATATGGTTTTATCTATTCCATATGCTGGGTGATGATGGTTGGAAATCATCTTAATCTCCAGCCATCAGCAAAAAGGATGACCTTTGTAGGTAAATAAAAAAAAACTTTCCATTTTATCATTTCAAATACCTAGCCTACTTTTAAATAAAGTCCCATCTAGTTCAGAGAAATCACTTTTTACAATTCCTAGAGCTAAAAAATAAACCATCAATTTCCAGAAAAGATGTCTCAGACTCAATGATTCTGACACAAATATATTATTTTAACAGTTTAAACCGAAACAAGTTGGCTAAAGAAAAAAAAGTAAACATATTAAGAACGCAAGGACATTAATTGACTTAGGAAGGTAAAATTTAAGTCAACTTAATACCTGTACTAAAGATGCATCCACTAAAAACATGGCATAATAGCTGCAAGCAATCAGGAGATCCTTAGTAGAGCATTATGAACAATATGGCCTGATAGTCCAATTAAAAGTAAAGTACTTTAATTCTCAGTTATCTCCAACAATAAAAATAAGATCCCAAATTTAAAAAAAAATCTGGATTTGCAACTACGTATGTATGTATTTTTCTTTAAAAGCCTTCATATGGACTTCTCAATTGAACAGGTGTGTTCTATACAATAGGCTTGTCTAGACTCTAGAAGCCCCAACTACTGCAGAATCGTGGGGGTTATGACAGAGTTAAGTGTAAGGTAGTTCAGTGTTTCCTTCCTAATGCAATTTGCAGCTATGGTTTGGATCAAAAGTAACCCGAACCTTGAAATAGTTTTTTTCAATTGCATGCCAGTGAAACAACAGAACAACCCATTCCAACCTACGACGGTTTCTGAAAGATTAAGTCAAAGTCTTCAGCGCATTTATACTGAAACATAAAGAGGCTCCCGCTGAATTCAGATAAGGCTCATTCAATATATTGTAACCTTTAAGAAACTCCACTGATGAGTTACACCCAAAACGTCCAGTTTATTACATCATCAGGGCTATAGCGGGAAAACCAATACATCCCCGCGTCCGTCCTTCTGCCACCACGTCCTACTAGTATCTTCTTCCCTGAGCTACTAACCCATTTCACCTTAGATGAGGAGAGGAAATCAAATCAAGCCCTCCCCACTCGTTGGCCCGCCCCACCCAAGCGATTCAACCAATAGCCTTTCCGCTCTGAAGCTCGAGACCACCACTTTCGCCTCCATTCATTGGTGTACCGACCAGCAACCTCTCCTCTCGCCGAGCGGTCTGGATGGCGTGCGGATTGGCTCCCGGCGGGTGAGCTGCTTTGGAAGCCGATTGGTTGTCGGCAGCGGCAGAAGGAAGCGAGGATTCGCTGCGGCGGCCGCCCGTGACATAGGCGGGGCGGGTGGCAGGCGTATTGTGGTGGAGGGGGCTCAGCTTGTCAGGTAGGTGAATGTTGCGCTCGGGGTCTGTGGTGCCGCCGGTGGGGTTTTGTGCTTGGCGAAAGCCAGGCGGAGGAAGGGTGCGCGGCAGGGGCCACTTCGAAGGGTGCCAGGCTTGGGAGAGGTGCGGCGCCTAGGCCGGACGAGTGGGCGGGGGCGGCGCCGGGATCGCTTTCGAGGATAAAGGAAGGAAGCGGGGCAAAAGGGAGGCGCTGCTGCTGTGGCGGCCAGCAGCGGGGCTTCTTTGGGCAGCATGGTGCTGCCGAGTCGTGGGCCCCCACCCTCGGTCATCTGGGGAGGGGGGAGGCGATCTGGCGTTCCCCGCTCGGCCTTGCGTCCCTGGGCCGGCGGTTCCCCTCCTCCGCCCAGTCGTCCTCGGTTCCTCGACCAGGTCACTTCGGAAGTGAGGTGATAGGGACGGCACTTGGATTCGCTTGAGATGGAGTTTTCGGACTTTCGGCTTACGCAGGCTTCGGAGCTTCCTCGCCGTCTCTGCCCTTTTGCTGATGTCTGGTTTCCCTGCTTGTCGTTACCCACCATAGCTGGCTTTGGGCATAACACCGAACACCTTAAAGGTGTTGTCGATGGCAAGATTGTCTGGGGACTGTAGGTTAAAAGACATAAAGAGCGGTGGCTGGAATTGGGTATGTCTAGTTTAATGAAAAGAAGGGTTAAGGGTTACTGATAGCAGTCTTCCAATATCTCAGGAGTTGCCACAAAGATGAGGGAGGCCAACTGTTCTCCAAAGCACCTGAAGGCAGGACAAGAAGCAATTGGTGAAAACTGATCAAGGAGAGAAGCAACCTAGAACTAAGGAGAAATTTCCTGACAGAACAATTAATCAGTGGAACACCTTGCCTCCAAAAGGTGTGAATGCTCCAACACTGGAAATTTTAAAGAAGAGATTAGACAACTATTTGTCTGAAATGGTATAGGGTTTCCTGCATAAGCAGGAGGTTGGACTAGAAGACCTCCAAGGTCCCTTCTGTTATTCTATTCTGTTCTGTCTTTATGAAGAGGCTGGGATTCCTTTTCACTAGTCACAGTTTGGCCCACTGGAAGTTTGAAGGAAGTAGAGCCATCCCTTCCCGTGGAGGTTCTTTTATATAATATTTATATAAATATAATTTGTATGTGTAAAAGTTGCTTTATTTGCTCCATTTCACTTGGCAAGGATGCAGTTGAAATCTAGTTTGGGGTGGGGGAGAGAGGGATATGAAAGAAAATTTATGTACACGTTATGAACTTACACAGAAAACTGTATTAAATTACTTTTGCTTGTGTACAATAGAAGCTTGGAATTATTTAAAAACCCAATATTTTCACATTTCTCCAAGAGGCCATTATATGTTGAAGGAAACAGTCTTACAGTTCATATTTCAATACTTGGCCTAGCAGAAACATTACTTCTTAATGGTTGAATTTTATAAATTGAGTTAATAGATGTAAGAGTATCAGCTATTAGGAGCTGTTATTTATCCATGAAGCTTAATATGTTGGTACTGTTGTAAGAATAAGGGAGGGGGGCAAGAGGGATGCTACTTTAAATTGCATGGGTCCTTAAATGTGTGTTTTCTGAGAGTGTACTGCAGCTGTGGAAGTCAAACAGCTGAATGACCCTAAATGATTTTTTCATTAATATGACAGTTTTAATTGCTAAGATATATATTTATTACAGCAATAAACATTTTCTACTTATTAGAGTATGGTGGAATAAATGTTGGATCTTTTATTGGCTTCATGGAAAAGTGTAGAATGCTTCACTGCATGAGATTAGAGTCAATTGATTAGCAAATGTTGCATTATAAAAGCTTTCAGTTCAGTCCCTAGCAATTTTATGAAGTCTAGTAGAACTTGATACCTGAAATTCCATCCATGAATACAACATTGAGTTAAATGGGATGATTGCTTATTGGATACCTTTTTTAATGTTTGGAATTCTGCAGAATACATAATCTTAGAAGAAAACGTAATACAAAATATGTGGGCTCTTGTTGGCAATTTTATTTAAGATGTCATTCCTTGTCATAATTAGCCTGAGGGGTAAAATGTTTTAGCACCTAAATGGGATTTCCTAAATTATAGAAATATATTTGTACATTACAACTTTAAACCTTAAATTACTGAATTGTGCAAACCTACATATGTAGTTGATCCCGGTGTACAATCATATGGGAATAGACTTAAGAGTTAAAACAGGGAACATAATCTAAGGGATTTTTCTCCTTTTTAAACACATTTCTTTTCCTTATCCTAAAACTTTTCCAAAATACCTTGCAAAATTTATTCCCATTTATTTTGTATACTGTAAGCTCATATGAACTTAAATGATGAATCTTTCCAGTATATGTGCATGAGTTTAACTTTTGTTGTTCTACTTTACAAGGTAGCCCTTGGTTAACGACCACTTGTTCAGCAAACAGTTCAAAGTTATGATGATGACAAGTGGTGGTTATGACCTACATAGTCATGAGCTGAGCTCTTGGCAACTGGCTCACAATTAACAAGAGTTGCAATGCTTAGTACAATCAAGTGATCATGATTTGCAACCTTCCCTGCTAGCTTCCCACAAGCAAAGTCAATGGGGGAGATTGCAAGTTAAAGTCTCCCCTACCTGTGAACTTTCTCCAAGCCTCTCTTCACTTTTGCTGCATTTCTCCAGGGACTTACGCACCCTACAATAGCACCACTGCATTTTCACTGCACTTCCCTGGTAACCCACGAACCCCTTTGTTCTCTTTCCCAGCTACTCCAAGCCCTGCTGTGCCCACACCATACTTCTGCTCATTGCACTTCCAGCAGGAGCCACTCCAAGCCCTGCCATGCTAACATCATACCACCCCAGCCACCTGTGCTCTCACTTCCTCCCTTCACATCCAACAGCAGTCACCTATCAGCCTGCCTGTGAACTGCTTGTGACTTGCGATTGATTTTGCTTGTGGGAAGCTGGCAGAAAGTTACAAGGAGATGCTCAGAAAATATCCCACAATCCATGCTTAACAATTGGCAATGGGGAATGCAGGGATTATTCTCACTAAGTAATGCAATCATGTGACATTGCACTTTACAGCCACATTGCTTAGGAATGAACATTTTGGAACTGATTTCTGTCATAACTCAAGGACTACCTGAATCTTCATTTCCTATATATTTTGGAAATTTCCCTGCACCATTAATTGAGTTTCACAGCTGATGTTTATATTTACAGTCCTTCACATGAAGTTTAGTTTTTAGATGTGCAACAAAAGATTTTAGAATATTTTTCAAACCTTATTGTATTTTTTAATGTAACTGGAGGGATTCAAAAATGGATTACAACTAGATAATGACTTTGTTCTACAAACCTAATTGAGCAATTGTCAATTCAGTCTTCAGTTGCTCCATTTCTATTTAATTGGAACCCCTAATTTTAAATCCACAAATGTGTTAGTGGTTCTACATATACTTACATGGAGTCATGTTAGGTATTTCAAAGGTTGTACAATATATGCATTCAGTGGTTCGACACTGATTAGACTACAAATGCTAAATTGGCAGAGGATAGAATTGCTTTCTGAATTTTATATATATATATATATATATATATATAGAGAGAGAGAGAGAGAGAGAGAGAGAGAGAGAGAGAGAATTACTGTTGTGAGAAATTCATTTTAATTTGCTTTGTTTAGCAACAAAATTTATATTCTGGTTTCAAATCTTTAGGGAAAATGAAGCTTTAGATCACTGTCAAACCTATCAAAGAATTTAGAAGATATGCCAGGGAAGGCAAACAATTCATAGAAAATGAATTTAGAAGAGAACACTTTGACTTAAATGTATAACTGTTAGATCAGTGAACAAGTAATTTCAATTTAATCTTATATTGATGAATGAGTTCTGAGAAATGCCACCTATGCTTTTGTCTAAATTGATAGTTTAGTAACTGAAGTCTCTTTTGTAAGTTAGCTTAGTGCCTTGCAACATATTTCCCTATTGTATGTTAAGTCATAATACAGTTGTTTGGAGTCTGAGAAAATGTATTTTAAGAACCATTTAGTCTTAACATCAGTGTGTGTGTGTGTGTGTGTGTGTGTGTGTGTTACAAGCTCTATTAAGCCACTGTGTTTGTAACTGGTTGAATAAGCCATCATTGCAATTGACTGATAGCTTTTCCATAAATTATACACTAATATACAAATTTCATAGCCTAATATAAGTAAATGTCATAATGCTATCAGTTTGTCTCAGTGCTTAAGTGAATGCACCATTATAGGAAAGTATGAAAGCAAGCCATTTTCTTTACATAAGTAAAAATATACACACACTTGAATTGGCTCTTGTTATTCTAATCTTCTATATATATAAAAGCTAAAAAACACTCATGCGTCATCACAAAATCTCCAGAACCGTAAAGCCTACAAACTTGAAATTTGGCACATATGTTCCTCTTGGCTTTTAGGTGCACACTAAGAAAGGATTTTTTGAAATGACCATCAGAGCATTTGTATTTCATATATTATTAACATGCTGTAATGCTAAGGAGTTCTACTCCCCCTCCCCACACGAAAAAAAATCTGTTCCAAATGCAAAACACAAGCAGGGGAAAGGAGTTTCAGTTTCATTTTTACTTTCACAGCAGCAAGCTGCTTTACAGTTGAGCTAAGCCACACCCAAGCTCCTTGCTGTCTCCATGCTCACACAGCAGATACTGTTTGTTTCCAAATAGCCCTCTGATGCTAAGGAGTTCTCCCTCTCCCCACCTGAAAAGAAATCTGTTCCAAATGCAAAATGTAAGCCGAGGGGAGGAGTTTCAGTTTTACTTTCATAGCAGCAAGCAGCTTTACTACAGAACAGTTGAGTTAAGCCATGCACTTGTTGTCTCCTTGCTCACACAGCAAATACTGTTTAGGTTTCCAAACAGCTCTCAACTGTCTCACACACTGACAGGATACTAGCCAGATGAATACCGATGGATGCTGGTAGGCAGAGGCACAATGTTTTCCCCTTATTTTCCTCCTCAAAAA